TCTTCCAACCTTGTCCAGAAGCTCCATTGACCCCTTTGAAGATGGTCAGGGAACTTCTTAAAATGTGGTGATCATTCGACGGTCTGAGGCTGGAAGAAGTCATCTCAATAATAGCAGAGCACACACTAAACGGTAAGTTATCCTATGTCCACCTGTAAAACGATACTGGAGAATGCGACTAAAGCATAGCATTGAAAAGTGTATGGTGTCTTATTTCCTTGGTTGCCATGATAGTCCTCATCTTCTAATATAATAATTGCGATCCGTAGAGGCGAATTCACAAAACTCTTGGGTATTCATTCCAGACAAAATGTCATTTTGGCGAACACAATTCTTTGTCGCAGAATTTTTCATCAACTAATATTTAATTCCTTGCAAGTATCGTCCTGACTATTACAATCTGCAGCCTGTGAATTTGATGGAAAAGTCGCTATTGCTTCTGAATTAGACTTCTCTTCAAATAGATTTTTCCCAGAAATGACTCATCGCGCTATAAATGGCATTCTCCAGCCTACTTGCCTCTCAATTATTAACATGACATCTTTATCCAGTCAGTTTTTAAAAGAGATAAAGTATTCTTCATGTTATATCCTGGTTGCAGAGACAACCCTTTGGACTATCTCTCCATCGTGGTACAGAAGACGTTTGTCATCATGTGGAAGTGGAATGGAGGAGCGCAAGAGCCGTTCAAATATTTGCCAATAGAGTAGAAATTGGAGACGAAATCTTTTTCCCTTATTGAGCCCACTTTATAACATCTTCAGCCTTTTCCATCCTGGGAAGCTCATGTACCTTAATCATGTGTAACCGCCCAGTAATGGTTCAATGCCTTCCATTCTCATTCCCGTTTTTAATTATGTTTTCGAGCCTACCAAATTTCACTCCATTTCGTTTAAGCTGACGAAGTAATGTGGTCAATTGTCATAGCAAATATAACTTTGCTGCATCGACAATCCCAGCATAGAGTGTGATATGGGAAAGATTTGGTCTTACATAAACTTCACCTCTGACCTTTGACCCAAGGGTACTCGTGGCAGCTTGGCGTAATAGTCAAGGTGTCGAGACTATGCGCTACGCAGTGACAACTCGGGTTCAAGTCCCACTGGGGGTGCTAATGAGACCTGGGCAAGGTAGGAACTGCTGTCTAGTCAAGATAAGAATACATGTTGGAATGCAAGGCTGCGGGAAATTCAGCTTAAACGTAGGGCCTACTCATATCGTAAGGGTGGGATAAAAATAGTGTTTAATAAATCCTCATAATTTGTTCGGTTATGCCATGGTTTTGAGTGAAATATGACCCATTATCGAGATCCGGTTGCTACTAGATTGTGGGCTTCTTTGGTCAACTTTATGTTGATTGGACCCATTGACCTATTCGCTAATGTGGCGAAATCAACTATCAGTCCTTCATCACCTTAATGAAATGGAATGAATAGAAATCATATATTTAATCTACTGGTAGTCTATAAAACCTAAGTCTCAACGAAAATTATATCTCTTTACTGAGCAATAAATTTTCAGGCGGATATTATTTATTTTTCGTATGTAAGTACAGTTTCGAGACCTCCAGTAAATCATTAATATGAGATGTATTCACCCTATTATTTAGTCAAAGATAGACAAACTGAGACATTTTCTCATGTCCTCATTGCTTCTTTCTAACAAGATAGGCGAATTAATGAAGAAGTGGGGTATAAAAATAATTTCCAAAGAAACCTTGACACTTTATTCGGCTATGCCATCTTTTACAGGGAAATATGATTCACTATTGAGATCCTGCTGCGACAAGATTGTTTGCTTCTGTGGTCGACCATATGCTGGTGAGACATGCCGACCTATTCGATAAGGATTAGCGGAGCATAAAAATGCTTGTAAAGGCAGCTCGGTCGAACGATCAGAAGTGGCTAAACCCATGTCAGAGACCGGAGATGAGATAGAATGATCTCATATGCAGAAGTTTGCCGAATATGGTATGTCCGCTACAAAACGCAAGATGAGAGAGGCTATTGAAATTAATGGATTAGGAAATAGATTGAATGTGAGGAAGGCTGGTATAAAGTTGAGTAAGAATTAATTATAGAAGTTGTTTAAGCATGTTTTCGCAACTTGGTCATATTGGTAGGAAGACTTAGAGTCCATTGTATGA